TGTGAGTGGTGCATGGGGGCAACTTCCTTGCATCCCTTACCAAAGTGTCATCCAATGAGAGGACTAAGTAGCACTTCAGCTTTTGGGTTTATGATTTGTGTTAAGTGTGGTAAGAGTTTTTCCATTAGAGGCTGGACTTTTAATGTATTCTCACTTTCAAATCCTTGCTAACCCAAAATTCTCCTTGCCTTTTTTTTTAATACGTTGCACACAGACACACACACATAAACACACACATTCCCACACACAAGCACATCACCTACAAAATGGTCCATACTTTAAAAGCCACAGTTTAAAAGGAAAAGGATTGCATTCCTTTCTATTTGAATTATAAAGAGTTAGAAACAGGATTATGAAGATATCTATGAAATGCTAGAAATGTTCTAAGAACGGCAGCATTTTGTGCTCTTACACTTGCGACTTCAGGAGGCCTCAGATATACTCACCCAGCATCTCTCTGTTCTGCAAGATGCCCTTGGAAGGTGCCAACCTGGGCCAGCAGAACTGGCAGCAGTGCAGCTCCCTGGTCCATTCTGGGGGTGCGCACTTTGAGTCCCCATGTTTGATTTCCTGCCATGGGCCACACCACATACCTTGCTGTGTCACAGCTCCTTAAGCAAGAGAAATACGCCCACTGCACGTGCCACCAGCAGTCCCTCCCCCGCCTTCCCCTGGGTCTCCCAGCCATCTCCGTCAACCTACCATATCCCTCTCTCCCGTCTGTCCATGGTTTAATGGCAGTGAAACCTGTCTGTTCACCATTTAAAAAGGAATGTTTTGGGTGGGGGCTTGGGAGGGGACTCACCGGGTTATGCTCAGGGTTTACTCCTGGCTCTGCACTCAGGGATCATTCTGGAGGGCCTGAGGATCAAACCCAGGTTGGCCAAGACCAAGCACCTTACCCACTGTACTCTCTCCCTGGCTCCGTGTTCATCATTTGGAAAAAAGAACATGATTGAACCTGCAGATGAGCTCTTCTGGCCCTCCCCTCTTGACCTATTCTCTCCTGGAACCCTGAGAAGATTCATAGGTTTTGGTTTCTCTCTCTGGACTCCAGTAACTCTCCGTGACTTCTCTCCCAGCACCTCCCAAATTTCCATGTGACTTCCCCTCAGCCTTCAGTTTCCGGGTGCTGGAGCCTTTGTCTGCAAAGGCACATGAGTCCAGGGCTTTCACCAACCCTGCAAGGCAGGCCCCACTTCTATGCTGGTTGTTACAGTTTCCCCCGGCAGGAAGAGCATCCTTGCAGCTTCGTGTTCTGTTTCTTGTACAGTTTCTAGGAGAGGCGGTTCCTGATGCCTTTCCTTTGGCTCTTACTGGTGCCGCCAAGCAACCCTGTTTTCACTGTACCTGAGTCTAGATTGGAAAGCTTCTGCCCCAGTCTTGTGACTTTCTTTATCTTCCCTGGGTTTCACCTCACTGTTATCAGCGAGAGGAGCACACACCCTGGCACGGGGTCATCCAGGATCCAGTTGCTGGGGCAGAATCCTGACCAGAGTGTGACTGTTATTTACAAGTCAGAGTTTGCAGTGCTCAGTGAACTAGTGAGGTCGATTCAGCCCACATTACCACCGCCCTGGGCCATGTGCTTTAAAGCTGTGACACGCAGGGGCTGCTCTGGTCACTGCGTGCTGCTGCCCAGTTCCCCGAGTTACTGAGCTGACGGTGCAAGCAACAATTTACACACCATCCAGTTCTGACAGCTTAGCCAGGTGGTTAGGTGGTGGCTAATCGTGTTACGTGCGGAGAACTGATATCTTGCTGCAAGCAACTGGAGCTGCTTGAAAAGCAAAGAACAAGAGCGTTTTCTTTTTCAAAAGATTTGGAAAAATAAGCCACAACTGCCTTTTTTTCCCCCAGTGGTTGTATTAAAATCTTAAGGACCAAGACTTCAAGACAATTCTGGTCCCAGTTCACGATGTGCAGAGGCTACGGCCTGTGTTTTCAACACACAGAAATTTAACACTTTCTAAGAAGAGACTCAGGCCCTGAGCCCCTCCCCAAACCACAGACTGGTCTTTAGTGACACACAGACCCAGGACAGGAACTCTACGCAAGGCAGCCACACTTCCTGCCACTTGGGAGGTCACTGTTGCAGAGGGAATGGTGACAGAGATGAAAGCAGGCTGCTGTGTCCTTCCTGCCCCGTTGTTCTCATCCCTCTGGTGCCACCCCTCCCAACAGACCAGAGCACCTGGAAAACCCGGGCAGGAGCCCCCGGGCCAGGCTGTGGGGCCCCAGGAGGCTTTCAGGCCAATTGGAGACTGTATAGAATAGATGCGGGGTTGGTGGCTTCAGAGTGACCTGCCAAGACTGTGACCATGTGTCAGGAGAAACAGGTGAACCAGACCTTCCCCTGAAGTCTCAGGTCTGGCCCTGGGGTGTGAATGTCCCCAAACCTGTCAATCTCTCCCACCCGGTCTGTGCTCTTCCAGGAGCCGCTGATATCTGCGCTCAGTATTCTATGGGGGGATGGTGCACAACTCTATATTTTCATGGGAACTGGAAGTGGCACCACATACATGGCTACCATGCACACACCCGAATACACGGTACTACAGACGTACATGCATCTTCAGTCATGATCCCATACACTCACACACCTGCACACACAGTACTACAGATGTACACACCTGTTTGCATGGTACCACAGACACGTGGTACCATGGGTGCACACAATACCACAGATGCACACACATCTGCACACATGTGTACCATATGCACACACACACACACACACACACACACGGATTTTATTTAGAATCACCAGATAAGAGGCATGTGGCAACAAAGACCTTTTAGGTGGAAGAACCTCCTGGAATAGTGGGGAGGAGCAACAGAACCTGGGATGTGGAAGAGCAGGTTGAGGGATACCTGGGGTGGGGGGGTGTTGAGGTTCATGGTTAATCCTCTATCCTCCCCAGGAAGGATTCGAAAGTGTCTCCCCTCCTGAGAACCCCACGGAGGGCTGGTTATGGGATTCCCTTCTGAAAGCAGGGTACTCTGGAGCATTCCAAGGACTCCCAAGCCATCACATCTATCTCTATAATTTGCTGGGACTAAGTTTTTGGTTTTTTCCCAATTTATCTGTGTCCCAAGAGTGGAACTTCACACATGTGGTGCAAGTGTTCGTCAGGAGAACCAGCCCAAGATTTCATCAGTACTTTGCTGGTGTGGTCACACTTCTCTGGTTCCACCTGGGCTGTGGTTTGCACAGTGACTGGGTTTCCTAGTCTGCACAGAGAGACTAATGCAATCTTAGAAGCAGAGAGTGATAACAAGACCAGATGGAACTGGTCAGGGGTTGCAGCTAAGCCCAGCCAGCCTGGGTATCCAGGGCCTGCTCGGTTCCTTGCTGGCAAAGAGGGCCATTGCTAGCACCTGCCAGGCCAAGAACAGCTTGCCCGAATGGACGCTGGTCCCCTTACTCCTCACCTGCAGTTGTATTAGAAGCTAAAGTCTTGGTCTAGCACAGAGTCTGACAAAATAAAAGAGCTGCAGAAACAGAGTGTTTGCCAGATGAATTCTCTAGCAGGGGCAACTCCCTTTACCATCGAGAAGGTCACCTGAGTTATCCAGGCCCAGGAAGTCTGCATATACTTGCATCTGCGACCAAATCAAACCGAGAGCCTCGTTTCATGCACTATTCAGAGCCTCCATGTTTGACCTGGTTAATTTCGTCTTTTTCTTCCTTCTTTGAAGTGCAAGACCTCACCTACGCAGGACTGAGCGTGGGTACGTGGCCGCCAGGCCATGCATGCTGCAGCTGGGTGCCATTGTGATTCTTGGTGTGATCTGGGCCTGTGATCCTTCTAACCCCCTCTCTGTCTCTCTGTTCCTCCCTCCTATTCCTGGTTCCCTTCGCACATAAGTCTTCCTCTCAATTCACTGATTCAAAGATGATCTACCAATCAAAGTTTCTCCTAATGAAAGACCTGATCATTCAACAGTTTATGTGCATTGTGAACATCCAAAATTTCTGTGGGCACAGCCAAGGGCCATTGCTTATTAAAAAAAAAAAAAGAAGAAGAAGAAGACATGCCTCAGCCCAGCATGCAGGTGAGGTGGTTTGGCTGGGTGATTGCCAAAGGCTTGATTTGGACCCCGTGGGACTGTGCAGCAGAACATGGGGTCCAGGCTGACAAAGAGCCCCCCCACTGGGGACAGACCCATCTCCCATCTGCTGAAACACAGGAGCAGGACTGAATTCTTTCTGAGATCTGTATACCTGCTTTTACTTCCCTGAATCCAAACATCCACCCACATCTTACGCACATGAGCTGTTTGTGCCTCTTGTCCCTTTTTTTTATGTTTATGCTTGATTTTTCCTCAAACCAAATTTCTTTTTTTTTTTTTTGCTTTTTTTTGAGGGCGGGGTCACATTTGGCAATGCACGGGGGTTACTCCTGGCTTTGCACTCAGGACTTACTCCTGGCGGTGCTCAGGGGACCATATGGAATGCTGGAAATCGAACCCAGGTCAGCCGCATGCAAGGCGAACACCCTACCCACTGTGCTATTGCTCCAGCCCCTCAAACCAAATTTCTTTTCATGGAAAAGAAATGGATGGAATCCATGGGCCTTCACTTCAGCAAGTGATGATAAAGTCAGTTCTCTTTCTCTACCCAAGATTTCTCAAATTGTGATTCATATGTCAAGTGTACTCTCATCAGCTAAAGGTGTTGGGACACATGCTTGTGTCCCACTGCAAGCAGAACGAGTCATCCTGATGGCTGGGCTTTAAAGGAACCCTACCATTCCAATATACTCTTCAGATGATGCTGGTGCAAATTTAAGAATCCCTCCTGGAAAATTGCTACAATTTTCAAATGGCCCCTTTAAGTCCTCTGGCCAGTCCTGCTGAGCAGAGGTCCAGACTGTGAGCACAGAGATGGGGAGCACTCCTTTCCACGAGAGACTCTGCAGTGCTCAGCTGTCCCTCAATGCATGCAGTGGGCTGAAGGAAGGGGAGGGGGGATGTAATGTGTGTCTCTTCACTAGGCATCATCCTTTCTGTGGCCCTGGCCGGTGTCCTTGGCATCTGCATTGTCCTGGCAGTGTCCATCTGGCTTTTTCGAAGGAAGAAGAGGTAAGCTGGGGGGACTGGAAAAGGGGGTGTACAACACACATGTTCTGAATACAGAATGAAGACCCTCTATACTTTGTGCCAGCTATCTTCATCAGGAACTTCCACAGACACTTCTGCCCCGATCACCACGACAAAGACGCTGCACATTGTGTCCACGATGAGGGCGTGTGGGGGTCAGCCTTGCAATCGCTAATCATCACCAGTATGACCTTGGACAAAAGTCCTGGTTTGGGAGACAAACCAGTCTCCTGTTTGCCTAAACACCCAAGCAGGGATGAATTCTTCCTGAAATGGTTATATCTAATTTTACTTCTCTGAATCCAAAAATCCACGTATCTCTCACCCACATTAGTTGTTCATGCCTTTTGTTTCTATTTTTTTTCTTTATTGGATCACACCCAACGATACTCTGGGGTTACTCTTGGCTTTGCACTCAGGAATTACTCCTGGCAGTGCTCGGGGGACCATATGGGATGCTGGGAATCGAACCCAGGTCAGCCGCATGCAAGGCAAACACCCTACCCTCTGTACTGTTGCTCCATAGTTTGTTTCTATTTTTATGATCATATTTTTTTTCCTCAAGCCAAATTTCTTTTTATCCAACCTGGACAAAAATGGATGGAACCTACAGTTTGAAGTAGGCTGCCATGAAACTCGTCAGGCCTCAGTGTTGTAATATGTAAAAGCACAGTTAGAAAATGAACAAACTTGGAGGCCAGAGAGAAAGAATATAGTGGGTAGGGCACTTTCCTCGCACAGGGATGAAACCTGGGTTCAATTCCTGGCATCCCGTATGTTGCTAGAGCACCCCAGGAGTTATCTCTGAACTTGAGAACCAAGAGTAAGTTCTGAGCACCACTGAGTGTGACCCAAATAAGAAAGAGAAGAAAAGAAAACCATTTTAGTTAGCATATTATTTGGGTATCTAAGATTCGCTTTGTTCCATAAATTAACAGACTACTTTGTGGTTCTCTCTCCTTACACTAACAAGTCTCCTGTGTTCTAACTCCAATAGCAAAAAGGGCAACTACAGCAAAGGAGTCATTTATAAACCAGCCATCAAGAAGGAGAATGAGGCCCACGCTTGAGACCCTGTGTCCAAGGAAAGATTGGAAGGGCGTTGCCGTGAGCATGGTCTGCTGTGCCTTGCCGGACATTGGAAGGGTGGACCAAGGGTGTTTTGGGGGAAAATTTGTCACACTCGGGGCCTATAATTGGGGGCAACTTCTACTCTGTTCTGTGACCACAGACACCACAGTGTGATGTGTGGATGGAAGAAACTTGACCCAAGATACAGCATTATGACCCCTCACCTCAGCTTTCAGAGACTATGCAATGGCCTGGTTCTGGGGGTCACGCCAAGCTGCCTGCTGAGGGTCGTGATGGTTGTAAAACAAGAAGCAGAACTTCCAGGACACTTAGAACCACCCTCTGGCGAGCCCCTGGTCATTCTGCTTCTGCCCAGCTTTTAGAACAGAGTGTACGTTCTCTGCTTCTGAGACTCAGTTTCTTTCCTCAGGGAAGGGGAGTTGTCATTCTTTGGTTTATTTCTGCTCTGATGATTTCTTTATTCTGACTTACAACTGGGGGGAAGATTGCCCCGCTCAGGGTCAATGTGGTAGAGAAAGAAAACAAGAGGCACAGTTGGCATATACCAGAGGTCTTACCAAGTCCCGTCCTTTGGATTAGAGGCATCAGATAGACCTTAAAGAGTGACTGGAATGTTCTAGGACGTTTCCCTTTGGAATCCTAATGGGGATCATAAGTTGTTTGCCAGAAGGACAGACTATTTAGTCCAGAGCCCCTGTCCCTCCCATTAGTTGGGAAGTTCTATTGTGTTTTAGTTTTTTTTCTTTTTGGGTCACACCCAGCGATGCTCAGGGGTTACTCCTGGCTTTGCACTCAAGACTTACTCCTGGCGGTGCTCAGAGAACCATATGGAATGCTGGAAATCGAACCTGGGTCGGCCGTGTGCAAGTCAAATGCCCTACCCACTGTGCTATCACTCCAGTCCCGTGTTTTAGATTTTATAATCTGGCCAGTCCTTGGAAGTATGCTGCTGCTGCTGCTGCTGCTGCTTCTGTCTTCGTGTGAATATATGTTTTGAGAAGGCCTTTAAAATCTTGAAAAAAAGAAGCAGAAATGGTATGATTGAGTAGTTTGTCTCAGATTCCACTCCTGTCCCCTTGGCCAAGTCCCTGCTCTCGACCTGGAACTGGAACTGCCTTCTTGGACTTTGCCGCGGGTCAAGCCACAGCTTCAGTACAAGAGTCTCAGACCCTAAAGGTCTGCTGTCTGTGGGGGCCAGCATGGTGGTGTTGAGGAGCCCCAATGACAGACTTTCAAAGACTGTGAATGGTCTCCCACCCGCTACCCCATGTCACAAAGACGTTTTAGAGAAGATGAGTCCTCCCTAATTCTCCTGCCAAGTTGGAGGAGTCCCCTATCCCTGATAGAGCAGGTGCCTTCTCTCCTGAACGCTTAGCTGCACCTCACGCTTCCTGGAGACTTTAACTCCCCGTCTCATTCTGACAGCACGAATGTCCTCTTGGAATATTGATTTCCTTAGACCATCTTTTTCCTTCTCTCCCCTCTGATTCTCTTATCACCTCCTTTCCCCCCGTCATAGTTTTATGCTTACACTCTTCCTCTGCCTTAACCACGGGGCTCCGTGTGGCTGAGGGGGATGAGGTTGTGTGTGCAGCCTGAGCCGGGGATTTCCTTGGGGCAGTCTGGGGCTCACCATACCACAGCAAGCACAGTGCTCAGGACCAAGCAATGTGAATTTGGGGTGATTTCTGAGAGACCACCATAGACTCTCCACTGCCACAGGACAATCTTTTCGAAACTGTCGCACCTTTTCTGGGCATTCTGTGAAAGAACACAGCAAGCCTAAGGTTTATTCATAATAAAGGAGGATTTGCTGGTTGATGGTTACAGGGGTCCCCCTCTGCTCAGCCCTCAGGCTCTCAGGGTCAAAACTGAATTGAGCCCTGAAGGCAGGTAGGAAGCACCAAGAATAATCTGCACTACTCATTTTTGTGCTGAGCCTCGGGGGATACTGGCCCTTCAAGGTTTCATTTAGGCTGCTGATACCAGTGGTCACTAGAGGAAACCGGGGTGTGGACATTCTACTGCCTCTCAATTAAGGGAGCAGGGTACTGGGGAAAATGAGAAAACCAGGCTGAGGCTGGGGAAAGGACCTTCCTCTGCTTCTTATGAACTCTTGGGAGAGCTTCTGTTTCCTAGTGACTTCGGACAAAAAATCAGAAGAACTTAAATGTGTTTCTCTAATAATGAGCATTTTAGATTTTGCTTCATTGACCAGTAATCACATTTCAAGTTCAGGTTAAATTCTTCTCCCCTTCACTGAACTCTATGAAGGCCTCCTGAAACTTTTGGTCTCTGAACCATAGGCTACCATGAAGATGGTCACTTCTGTATTTATTGTAAGAATGATTGTAATGATATATGCTCTACATGTGAGAAATCATAAATAAATTCTGTTTTTTCCAAGTCAGACTGGTTTTTGGGAGCTGAGGGTCAAATGCGCAGTGTGACCTTGTGGTGTGTAGTTGCTTGTCTCTGGTAATTGGCTACTGTTATTTACATTCAGGTGTTAGAGATGTCTGAGGAGAAAGCCTATCGTCTGGAAGCCCCAAAGTCAGACGCTGGGAGTAAGAAGAGCTGGAAAGTCAAGTAATGAGGGAACAGCTTAGAACATGGTGTGGGAGGGCAGCGAAGTGGGGTGCATATGGAAGGCTAGAAAGTAGCCAAAAATTAAGCAGAACTGGAACCTTGTATTTCCTTTGGATGGGGTGGTGAACTCTTGGTGCCTAGTCGGCCCCAGGGGCTGCTGCTGTGATACTCAGCCAATGGAGGAGGCTTTTTAATGCAGAGACAAGGATATGATGTTGTTCTGGCTCTGCCAGGGACCACTAGGTCACCGTGACCATAGTAGTGTCTGGGGAACCATATGGTGCCAGGGATCAAACTGGCATCAGCCTGCAAGACATGTTCCCTACCTCCCCCTACACACAAACCATACCTCTCTGGTCCCAAAGAGAGATCTTTTCAAAGTGACTTGGACATAGGGTACAAGTTTTATGGCTTTTAACTAGGTGTTAAAAGAATTAGGTGTTGAATTCTTCAAATACATACCCCCCACACACACCTTTTTTGTTTCTTTTTTTGGGTCACACCCAGTGGTGTGCTGAGAGGTTACTTCTGGCTCTGCATTTAGGAATCATTCCTAAAAGGTTCATTGAGGGGCTAGAGCAATAGCACAGCAGGTTGTGCATTTGCCTTTCACATTGGCTAACCCGGGTTTGATTCCCAGAATCCTATATGGTCCCCTGAGCACCGCCAGGAGTAATTCCTGAGTGCAGAACCAGGAGTAACCCCTGTGCATCATCACGTGTGACCTAATAAGCAAAAAAAAAAAGGGGGGGACTCAGTGAAAGATACAGGATGCTAGGAACCGAACCTAGGGCAGCTGTGTGGGAAAAAGTGCCCTCTTTGGCTTCTTGAAATACATACTTGGGACATATTTGAAAATTTAAGAGCCTACGCAAAAATTGATTTGGACCAAACAGGAACTTAACCAGCAGGACCTGGTTAAGGCTACCTTGGAGAAGGTACAGAGAAGAGTTCATCTTGGGCTTGGCCAGGATTTACAGAGACAGCACGTGGTCACTCATCCTTAGGTTTACATTTCTAACTGAGAGGCACTTGCAGACCTAGATGTTGGTTTGCTCTATAGGTCACCCAAGCATTAGAGGCACCTGTCCTTGGAAGATGGAGAGCCTCTGTTGGTTGCTTGTTACCTAATTTCAGATATTTTTCTCCCAAAATATGCTGTGTAATATTTTGCCTAAATCCAGAATTCAACTTCTGGTTTGCTAAAGGAGACAACCCTGTAAGGTTCCAAACAGGCATCATTGTTTGAGCCTTTTAGAAACATTTCCAATACTCCACATCCCTCAGAATAAGATAGGTGAGCAGTTCAGGGCACTCTTGTCCCAGTTGGGGACACCATGGCCTCCAGCATTGGAAAGGAAACAATGCCTCCAGCTTCTAATGTTCTGTTCCCTTGGAAATTCTGGGGGAGAGGAAGTGCCTGGCATTGTTCAACCCTTAGTCCTGCCTCTGCACTCAGCGATCGCTCCTGGGAGTGCTTGAGAGACCATATGTGGTGCTGGGTCTGGTCCTTGCAGGGTAAACACCTCACCCACTGTACTCTCTCTCTCTCCCTCTCCCTCTTCCATTGGAATTTAAAGTGCTTGTCATACTTCCTGGGGTGAGAGCCTCTTCAGGGATGAGAACAGATAAGAGCAAGTCCTGTATATTTTTTTTAAATTTCCATTAGTGAAACATCATGAAGTACAGTTGTAGACTTACAAATTTTTGTCTTGGGTTTCAGTTATACAATGATCAAGTACCCATCCCTCCACCAGTGCCCATTCTCTACCACCAATGATCCCAGAATCCCTCCCACTCCCCTATCCCCCCCCCCCCCATCCCACCCTGCCTCTGTGGCAGGGCATTCCCTTTTGCTGACCCTTACTCCCATCTCAGGGAGAGGTGGGAGACCAAGGGATTTCCTGGGAACAGCAGTGAGTTACAGACTCCCTTCTGTCCCCAGTGCCTTTCTCCCCAGCCCTACCTCAATATTCATCTTGTTGGATGATAAAGGAAGTCTGGTGACTGCAGTCTTATGGAAGCAGAGGAAATTCGGCTCCTGCTTTAGCTCGGTGTTCTCTTCTCATCACAATCCCACTAAATTGGCAACCCAGAGTCATGTCTCCAAAAGAGATATGGAATTTTAAACTTTCTAGTGGGAATATACCCCAAAGTCAAAGAAAACTAGTGATTCTAATTTTATTTGTTTCAATTCAGTTTGAGGGGACCATATCCAGTGGTGCTAGGGTTGGGGTCAGAGGCGGTGGCTACTCCCAAGGGTGCTTGGCCATCTGGAGCAGACCAGCAGTAGTAGGAGAGGCAGTTGGCAGTGATTAGGGGCTAGCAGGTATGACTCAGGATCTCTCAGGTGCTGCTGCATTGAACTGTCTTCTGACCTGGCATTAAC